AGGAGAACACATGACTCTTCATTTGTTTCACTGCTGAGCACTCCCATGACTGTCTTTTTTTGTAAGAACCCACCCGAAAATACCATTGCCTTTTTGTCTTTCCATAGAGAGCTTTTTCTTTCTGCAAAACTAGAAACCTAACATCTACTTCTAGACAGTATAAAATAAGAGACGATAAATACTTTTCTCATACCCTTCCCATCCACAGAACTGTTGACATTTTTGCTGTATCCCTCCTAACTTTGGTTGCGTTGTCACCTGGGTCACAGATTTAACTGTTACTCCTTCCAAGAAAATTGCACCCTAAATAAGAAAGAAAAAAAATAGCATTTAATTCTTCATAGAAGCAAATCACAAAACAGATGTGAACTGCTGCACTAATAGTTAAAGCCAAAACACTCTTTGAGATAGAGAGTCTTTGTTCTGCATTTTAGAACACAAGGTCAACATGTCAATTCAAGGTTTAGGCTCTTTTATAACACATGACCATCACTGGCAGTACTAACAAAATTTCTTTCTTCTAGTCTTCCTCAACACTACTCCTTCTCCAAATACCAAGACACCATCATCTCAGTTTCACCATAATATGCCAAATTAATTCGTGAGCCATATTATGAATCCAGGCAGTGAAGTGAGTTATTAGGGGGCCGGATGAAGAGCTAAGTGCTAACGGGCAGTTAGCTGTGTGCTAGCTACTATTCTGAGTGAAGTCCCTACATCAAAATACAGGATCAGGATCTTGCACAAAGGAGATCAAATTAAACATCCTTAGCATACAAAAAATATACAATAAAAATGCAATGTAAGGCATGTAGATATGGATATGAATGTGAACTTAAACAGTATTGTAAAAGAAATGCAAAGCACTGTACGTTACAGGTCATAAAACTGCCTAGCGCAAGTCTTGGTGCTGACATTTTTAGGTATGTCCAAAAGTACCAAGTAAAAGGTATGTCAAAACCAACCAGAGGACAAAACTTCATTTGATGAAACATTAAAACAGTTATTTTTTCAATATGACTACAAATTCATAATTCATATTTTTAAAGTTCAACACTTTCCTCAATCCATAGAAAATATAAGTTTTTCAGCAACAGTAGAGATTTAACATATGAGAAAAATATAAGCTACTTGATAGGGAACGGATTGAAGTCACTGGAAAACATCTACAGACATTACTTTTTCCCTTTTTAACAGTAATTCCAGCAGATGAAAAAAATAAGATCTCCGGATCTCTTTGAGAAGCATGGTTTCAACTGAATATGTTAAGTTTTACCACATCTAGATGCTAATTCCATTTTAAGAAGTTTAAATATGTGGATATTACCTCCTCTTAGGTAATCTAGCACATTCTAAGTCTCAGAAAAAACTTAAAATGGAAGGAAAAAACACTAGAAAGATTGAAATACCCTCCTGAGAATGAATATGGCTTCCCTACTCTTGCACAGCACCAACTTTCAGCAGTTTTAGTTGAGCTAGCACAAGCTCCTTAACAAAAGGAATTGAAAACATAAAAAAATTGATTTCTAACAAAATTATCTGCCTAAGAATGTGCTGACGATTTCAGTCTAAGCCAGGTTACTACAGTGGAGAAGTTACTCTGAATGCCATAGGAAAGCCTAAGGAGTGATTAATAAAAGAACACTTAAAACCCAAACAACTTAAGCATTCCTGAAAATGTTTGATGGTGAATGAAATAAGTTCTGTCCAGCAGAACACAACAAAAAGCCATAAGGCCCAGGGAGTTCAATAATTAAAGATTTCAGCAGAAGAACCAGACCCTCGCATAGTTATTGCAGACTGAGAAGATCAGAGCAAGAAGTTCTATTTACTTAGCTACTAATCCTGCAAAAGAAGATAGAAATATTTCCAGCCTGTTTCTAAAATGCCTGTGATTTGCCTTAGCAAATCTAGCTGCTGATGAAATGAGCCTTTTTGCTGCCCTGCCCTCCTGCATATGGTGCCACACGTCTGCTCTACTCTTAAGCCAGTTTAGGAACGAAGCTGGCAAAAAACTAACAGCGTAAGTTATTAATTTTCTGCCAATTCTCAATTATGTGCCTGCCATTTGAGAGCATCTCTTGTAGATTTTCTGATTGAGACAGACAAATTCACAACTGGTTTTGGAGCCACTAGTATCGGCGTGCACAGCACAATCCAGTTTCTCAACAAGCTGGAGCCAGCTGCACGCTGCTTTCACACTCAGTATGATTTTGTGCAGTTTAGATAATACTCCATATGGTGAAAAAGGAAAAAAAGTCAGTGAATTATTCAAAATTACAAAAGTGTTAGCTTTTTAGAGCGTAAAAAAAATATGTACATCCTAATTTGGTTCCAGATTCTCGGCTTACCAGCTGGTGTATTTGTTTTTTTGTTTGTTGTAAAAGCTTTTAGTTGTTTATTGATTCTAAACACCTGACCAGACACAACAGGTTCTGTTGCGAAGGCAGCAAGTGCGCGATGCACATAACTACATGTACGTTTGTGTTCTGAGGCTGAGGAGGGCTGCAATCCTGAGAGAATTATAGAAAGCAGCCGAGCCGTATCCCTCCCAACCGTGGTTGTGTTGTCAGCCGGGTACCTGCACGCGGCTTCCTCGGGGCCACGGTGGGAAGAGCCCTGGCCCTGCAGGCCCCAGACTCTGCTGGCTCCCACCAGCTCCCCAGGAATCGGAGCTTCACAGAATGGGGAGGAGCAGAAGAGATCAACATTTCTGGATATTGGCTCTTGATCTTGCTCTACACATCCTCATAGGTGCCCCAGAAAACCTGGGGTAGCTGAAACTTCTCCAGAACAGGAGAGCAGCCCAATTCAAACCAGGTTCAGCGAAGTCAGCAGTGTTTCGCTAACAAGCTGCAAGAAGGTAGCCCAGAAGCTCTGCAGGGTCTGTTTTAGGTGAAAGAGAACCAATTCTTTTTCCCTAACTTGGGTAATAGAATATTCGTAGCCTTATGCCATGTGAATTTAAAAACAGGGATATAGACTGCGGTGGTAACTTTAGAATTCAATGCTATCCCTAATTTTTTAACTGGTCTAGAAAAAAATAGGTTGCATTTCATTATAAACAAGCACAAAGTTCTGTGCGTAGTAAGGAGTAAGCAACTGCACAAATGCACAAGGGTGGACAACTGGAGAAAAAGATACAAAGACAGCAACACACCAAGTGCTGAACTAGTGCCATTATGTCTGGTAATAGGCAATTATATTGAGATATATAAACAGATATATAGCCTTAAGACACACGGAATATGCCTGGGACAGCCTCAATTAGAGGCTCATGTTCAATTACGAGCACCATAATCTGAGGAAAAAAACATAAGTTAACAAGGCAGCATATAAACAATGACAAGAATGGTTACAAGTCTCGAAATACAGAATACAGGAAGAAGTGAATTAATTTTTAACAAGGGGAAGAAAAAGAGAAGACCAGAAGGAAGCAAGACACGAAGTACATAAGCAAGTACATAAAGTACGTCAAGTACATAAAAAGCTGCTGCAAAATAAGAGAATAATCTTTTTTCCAAATCCATCAAGAGACGTCCACAAGCAGAACAGTAAGTATAAGGGTTAAACTTTAGCAAGAAAGAGTTAACATTTAGAGGAAGACGGAATCTCTAATAATTAGAATCAACGTACTTCAGTAGTTAAACAACGAATAATATCTTTGTTGATTGTATCAACCACATCATTTAATGTTTTCCCTGGCCTTACTGATGACCACAGGACACTAGTCCTGAAAATTGTGAAGGAAATCCTGAAGAGTAATGACCTCCTCCAGACTGAGAGATTTCACTGAACCACTGATTTCAGAAGCACTGCATCCTGTATTTCATTTGAAATATGCAGTTTACATGGGAATATAATGGTTGGCACTTCTTAATAAACAGTAAAAAATTCTGTCTGACCCATGAAAAGATAGTTCTGCCTCAGAACTTTAACTTTTTGTCCCATTTTCAAGAAACTTAGGAGATTTTTTTAAAAATATGATTCCAAACATCAGCTAATAATATTGCTGCAGTGCTACAATCACTTTTAATGTGCACGAGTAAAAATAAATAAATAAAGTAAAAGGTTGGATTTCTTCCATAACGTCAGAAACTAGAGTAGACTTCCTGTAACCTGCCAAGTACGTTCAAGGGATGATGAAAGAAGCCAGAACTGCATTATGTTCTAACTGTCCCAACAGGTTGTAGGCGGCAAAAAAAGGTGCTGTCAAAGACATTTGCAGTGAAAACACAAGTTTTAATGAAAGATTCTGCAGCAAAGTTTTTCATGTCTCTAAAGCACGTGGCATCTTCACTTCAGAGGCTACCTGGGCAGTTGCCTCTGTCTATTGATTATCCTAGCAAGGTGCCAGGGAAGCATCTCTTCCTCTGGCCCCAAAACTTTCCACCCCTCCCTGCAAAGATCTGGGTCAAAATTAAAAGGTTTCAGAATACCAGTATCACAAAAAATGTGCTCCAGTTGGCTCTACTTTGACACTGCACACCTTCCCCCTAGTGTTCAGAGGTCCACGAATTAAAATGCTGCAAACATCAGCTGCAAAAGAGAAATCAACTGCAACGCTGACAATTTAGCCCTTCAGACAAGGAGTAAAACAAGAGCTGTTTACCTGATAGTCATTCTCCTTGTGGATGGCACTTTTACAAGGAGTCACAAATAGACTGTATCCATCGCTACTCAGCTACAGAAGCGTCCAATCTGTCAGCCAAGAATCATGGCAAAGAATCTCCCCTTCCTTCCTCTTCGTGCCAAAGACCGTTCCTCCAGAGCTGCAAAACCGAATTATACGAATATGCATATTAACGAGATGAAGCTTTCGCAAGTTCTCTCACTCTTAATTACGCTTTGGTTATTAATATGCTTATTCGTATAATTTAGCTTCCAGCCCTCAAAGGACTACTTGGGCAGAGAAGGAACAGCCTGGGAAGCTTGTGGCGTGATTCCTGGCAGACGGATCAGACCTGTGCTACGCTTGAGGAAAGGAGGCCGTCGCTGCACCTCACCTTATTTGCCAGCGCACCGAAAGGCAAGACAAAATTCAGTCTTGCAACTTAGGAAAAATTTCTAAACATTAACATTTTACTGCAAGGCTAATTAGTAAAATGCCCATTTCACTGAAAATATTTTGACTATTTATGGATATAAACAGTTGCAAGCAATCTTTAATTCCAGCTGATGAACTATTTAAAAGTTGTCAGAGTACATCTTGCTTTTTTGAACCAGATTTTGTATTCTTTTCAGGCTAATTTCTTCCACAATCTCTCTGTAAACTGTAATGAACAGCTGCACTAACAACAAAATGATTTTTTTTGCAGATATTTCATGTGAGGATTTCCAAGTGTTTGCAAACAACACACCTCAGCACATAAGTAAAATAATTTAGAACTATGGGGGGGGGAGAAATACAAACCATATTTTTGCACTTAGTTTTCTCCCCTACTTTACCTATAGATAGAAAAATGATGAGTTTGGAGAGGACTGAGTCATGAGTCTTCACAACAGCACAGTTCTATTCTTATTTATGAGTTCCATACCATATAAAAAACAGCTATAGCTCGTTAGTTGTAAGAATGCAAATTTATTGCAAAATACTCATAAGTGATTGGACACATTCTATTATCTTGATATATTCTAAATATATCTATATATCCAAATTATTTAGATATATTCTAAATATATCTAAATATATCTAATATATCTAAATTTGAATTAATGAATTTTCAAAATTGCCTTGGTGTTGGTATTACTGCTTCTTAATTCAATTCACAATCCTCTAAAAATTTTCAAAAACAAGAATATTTACTGAAATAAGCACTAAATTTAAGAATACTCTGAATTTCACCCACATGGCTAAAAATAAAGAAATAAATGATTTATGCACCCATCAAAATATTTCACCTCTAAAAATACAGTGCAAAATTGAATAAGTGCTTTATCACTTCAATCTTAAAAAAAAAACATTATATCAAAGATGTTAAGTGATTGTTACAACGGGAATAGCTCAAGTATTGTACATTGAAGTTCAAGGTTCGGAAGAATCATGAGAAAGTTTGCACTGCACCTACCTCCTACTGCTGCTTAGAGACAGTACTGCCAGTCCCTCACTTGTAAGACTGACATTTATACAGTGTACCTCATGACAATGAGTTTATGAAATTCAGTTTAGCAATTGGTATATTAAGTTTTCAATCAGAATTACCAGTTTTAGGCGTTCTTTTCTTCTTTTGCCAAAAGAAGAGCCTGATGACCCAGGTTCTGATTCTTGGCCTCCGATTTTACCGTTATCATCCTCCTCATCATCATCTTCATCAACGCACCATTCCGGTAGCTCGGGTGGTGAAGGTGCATCATCTTCATCTCCATAACGCCGAAACAGTTCCTTCAAATAGTCACCTTTATAAATGCCCGGTGGTCTAGCCTGAGCAAAAGTAGCCACAGCTGCCTCAACACTGTCAAATAAAATTGACAATTACACTGGATGCTTAGTTCCTGTTTTACTCATGTCTTAAAAAGAAATAAGTTATTTGGGTGTCCAGAATTCAGAAAAAAAAATCCAATTACAATTGTAAACACATTCATCATATTCCAAGATAGGTCAACATGGCAACTATTGTTCCAGCACAACATTCTGCACAATTTTGTAGGTCCATCAACATAGGGAAATCATACTGTATAAGATTTAGTGATCTGTCTATTCTTCTCTATTCTTCCAACAAACTCTGTTCTAAAATTAAAGAAACTACATAAATAAAAATAAAAGAGTTTAAATAGAAAAGGTGTTTTAAATCTGAGCTGTCCAGTATGGGAGGGTGCCCAAGAGACAAATGTTCCAGAATATCCAGAAACCCTTCCTAAGAACCGGTAAGTTGGTTTGTTCTCCTGATATTTGGTAGGAGTGGAAAAGGCACTTTCACGAGTGAGACTGTCAGATGGTCATCAGACCTCAAGAGTGACAGTGTAAGAATCTAAGCTACTTTGAAGCATCGTCTTTGTACCTTTCTTGGTTCTTTAACATCTTTATTCAATGCTTTTGAAAAACTTAAAAAAAAAAAAAAAAAAAAAAAAAAAAAAAAAGGGAGGGGGGAGGAAATGCGGTGGATAGGGGATGAGGCAGGAAACAACCTCAAAGTTTGTCTTTGGTGACATTAGAAAAAGTCTATACTACTATGGAATATCTGGTAGTAATAGCGAGAAGCAGCAGATTTCAAGCACAGAAATACAGCCTGATAGAAAACATCCTTTGCAAGTTCTAGAAACATGCAGTCTTAAGGGAAAATGAGTTTTGAAAAGTGAATCAAGCAAGGTTTTGATGACTAGCTGGAGGGCTTTCCGTCTGGATGACCTTTCTTTAAACTAGCTGTAAAACACGTCTCAGTATTCACAACGCATCAGCAGCAACCCTGCATCACTCGCTCAAGGAATGAATACGAATGGCTGTTTCTACAGGGAAAACCTTATTTCCTCAGCAGCCACTAGCAATGTCTTATGCCAAAGAACGATACAGCAAACTGAATTATCTTGACACAATGCTTACACTCCACTGACACCTTGCAGAAATTCCTTCTTTTGCTGTAACATTTTTACCCACCAGGTGAAGTCTCTTCTTTTTTTACTTAATTTGACAGAGATTAATAAATGTAATATAATTAACTATGTGAATGAAATACATATAAGACTAGGCTGCTAAGTTTTAAGGCTTTTCCAGTTTTTATATTTGGAAACACAAAAAGGCTGCATGAAAGTTAATTAAAAAAAAAAAAATGAAGTGCATTTTCTCTTCAGAACAACGGACCAATGCGGATTCTAATTACTTCATGCTGTTTTTATTGGGGAGATTAAAAATACACAAATCTGGTAGTTCAAAGGATAAATAATAGCCATAAAGATACTTGTGCCTGTACCTATTTCCGATACTCAGCTAAAATTGAGGCACCCATTATCCATGGCATTCTATCTCCATTACTCCAATGTCTTTATTCCAAGTTAACTTAAAGACAGTAGATAAATGAGCTAGTTATTTTCAATCCTAAGAAAATGTAGCAACAGAAGTAGATTCTTGAAGGACTGTACAAAAATCTCATCCTTAGGGGCATGGTGACACGTCTTGCAGCAGTCCCAGACAGACAGCAAGGAAAAAGTGTTTCACAGGCACTGTCAAATACGCAAAAATCAGGCTCATCAGCGCGTTTATTTGAAACAGATCACTACGCTCTATGAAAAACACCAACAATTTTAAATTATCCAAAATAAAATTGCCTCATGGTGTAGACTTTGGTCAAATAAAAAGATGTGACAGGGACTGCCTCGTCCCCACTTAAGAAGCATCGCTCTGCTCTTGCTCTAGCTAATCTGTTCCTTTCAGAACTCAAGACACTAAGAGACTCAACAAAAACCACATGAGAGAGGTAACAGAATTAATCTCTTAGGCATCTCTGAATTCTGCATACTTGCCCACAGTGTGGGACATGATACAGGGAAAAGACACAGTACAGCACAGCCACATGGGCCACGCATGGCAGGGATAGCAGGCAGTTGGTCTAACAGACCTGAAAAGCTTAACTGAATCAGACTAAGCTGATGCCAGGAATAATGCTACTACAGGTCCTTGCTCAACATTAGCAGTTTGCAGGAAGTAGCAGCTTGCAGAAAGTAAAGATTTCAAACACTACATTTGCCATTACTTTCAAGTCAACATTTAAGTCAAACTCTCACTGCTATTCTCCACAGAACTCCAAGAATCAACATTTGAGATTACCTCCAGTCCAACTTCTCCACCAAAAAGGCACAGATCAGAAATCCAGTTCTATTGAAACCGTGTGTGCAATGGACACCTGCGAGATAAAAGGAAGGGATGCAATCATTTAAAACCAGTTTTAATTAGCCAGCTTCAGTTTCACAAATATACTTTTGGGGTCATTCTATTTTTGTAGCAACATCACAGAATCATCTCTCTCCCTTTTAAAACAGCTCACACCTTATAATAAACCTGAAAGGCAATTTATTACATTTTTCCTGGAAATTATTAGCAACAAGCATTTAGGACACTTCAGTATATTCCAGCTCAAGAGCACTACTGAAATATGGTAAATCCAGATACTCTTCTAAGAGTTTTTATGGCTGTTGAAATGCTGATCAGAAGACAATACAATTAAACTGCACTTTTACTGAACTCAACAAGCATTATACTCATTTTACATCATGGGCATAAAAATCATATTCAGATTACCCTACTTTAAGCTTGAAAAGCAGTGTCAATAGATGACACTTCTATTTCAAAATTGTTATTACCATGCTAAGACCAGACTTATTAATTTTGAAAAAAAAAAAAGAAAGAAAGAAAGAAAGAAAAAGGGAAAATATGGAACAATGCAATCACTTTGAACTACTTATCTCCTCTCTTAAAGGAGAAAGAATTAAATCTTCAGCCTCTGTTTTATAAAATTCTTTCCACAGAAGAGTCAGATATAGCTGAACTGCTTTTTTTTTTCTTTCTTTCAAGGCAACAGCACCATCTAGCGATAAATAAACGAAGATTGAAAACTTCTGGTATTAAAATTGTGTGAAAGATTCATGTGAGAGGCTGACTCTTGCAGCTCCTCACACTGTCTTTTTAAATGATAAATATCACAGTATTAAGTTCCTCCTAATCCCAAACCCTTTTTTTTTTCTCTGAACTTCCTCATATTTTTCAGCTCTGAGCATGAAGTCACTTTTATTGAAATTTTTTATTGCTTTCTGTATTTCTCCACAATATTTAGAAGAGTAAGTTTAGCAGCAATTCACTTGAAACATATTTCAAAATAAAAACATGTTCAAAACATGAACAGCTATTTTTCCTCTCTTGTATACTTTACCCCACATTGTAAGCAAAATTTTTAGCAAAGAAAACTGTCTGTAAGGATTAGATAGATTGAGAAAAATGCAGTTGCTTAGATTCATACATCCTAGTCATTTAAAACAAAAAGCGTGTAGTTTTTATTGAATTGAATTAATTTTAGCCTCCTTAGAAGCTCCGTTCCCAGTAATCACTTCTCCCTTGTTTGCTGCTCAAGCAGAATCCTTGCATTTTGCTTTCTCAGAGTTGGCAGGCACCCTCCAGTCCTTCCACTCCCACAAAAATGAAGCTTCCCTCCTACATTGTCAAAGTTGAACAGAAAACTTTGTTCATGTATCATTCCCGTATCAGTCTCTTTCCATATCCAAGCTTGACACTGGAAATTAAACCGCATGCAGCTGCCCTCAGCAGGGCCTGCAGCAGTTACAGCTCCCAGGGAGGTTGTCACTGGCTTTATGCCCATGCAGAGATGAGGGCAGCAGCTGGGCAGGGAAGGCCCACGCAGGCGGCGGCGTCACTACCGCTCGCTGCCTCCCCTCCGCGTCAGCCACGAGGTGACTCCTGCAGAACTCACAGGACAGAAAGGCAAAATCCCAGCATTTGACTCCTGCTACTCCGGCTCAGACCACAGGTTAGCTGTGAGTTAAAGAAAACGCCAAGAAAAGAAAAAATATACAAAAAAATCCAAAGATTCTAAAAGTCAAAAAGTCAACAGCCCAGCACTACAAATGACATTTTAGAAGTTAACATACCAGCTAAATGAGACTGCTTTTCAGGTAAATCACAATGCTCTCCATATTCCCTAACAATTGCTGTCCCGTAACAGTATCTCAAGTTTCAAGACACCTTTGATGGCTGACTGCACTCAATTTAACAGTTCCTCATTTTTCATGTTATATGCTTGTGTAATAGTTTAGGCAAGAAAAGATAGAATGAAATTTTAATGAAACCTATGTGAAATAAATAAATGACAGGATCTAAAAGAAAATCATGTTCTGCAATTACATCACTCAAACATTGATTGCAACTAGGATTCTAAGTGGTATCTAGTGACAGCACATGAGGCAATTGGCACAGATTGAAACAAAATGAAATTCCATTCAAAGTAAAAAAAAAAAAACAAACAAAAAAAACACACACACACACACACACCTTCGGAAGATGAAATAGTGTTCAAACACTGGAAGAGGTAGCCAGGAGAGGCTATCCTTGCAGATATGCAAAAGGCAACAACAGTCCTGGGTGATCTGCTCTAGGTAGGTGACCCTGCTTTGAGCAGGGGCATGAGCTACATGATCACTTCCAAACTCAACTATTCTATGATTCTACAGCCTAAACATTAGGAATGTAGTAGGTTAGTTTACCCAATTCTTCACAAAGATGCCTATGCAAACTGCTCTTCCATGCAACCCCCTGAGCTGCACAGACACTCAGATTCAGCAAGGCTGCAGAATAACCGGAGATGCCTGAGGACAAAACCCCACATGATTCTGAAAACTCAGCTGCACAGGGCAAGAAGGGGCATTGGGGGAAAAAAAAAAAAAAAGGAAGAAAAATATAATTGCAATAATTTCTTACCTCTGACAATTGGCAGATAAAGTTAACCATTAATATGCTTAAGAAAAAAATCAAATAAAATGTTTTAGATTAAAACTAGAAGCCACTCAAATTCAGAATTTATTTTGTTTCGAAAAAAATAGCCTTAAGATCATTCACACACTCATTGCAAGACAATACACTACAGAAGAAAACCCTAGCCTAATATCTACTATCATTTTCCAGCAATTTATCATCTGCTTTGTGAAATTCAGTAAACCAGATACCCCATTTATCTAAAAAAAAAGTTTAGGCAACACATAACCTTCATTTTTATCAAAAGAAGTTACAAAAACATAATGCAGGTATCATGCATTAGCAGACAATTCTTAAGTCTTTGTATTTTTGCACAAAATGGGGACATGCAAAAACATTCGGCTTTGTGTGCCAAGAACAAGCTTATTTTAGAGACAAAGCAAATTGAGATTGGTGTAAATTCTGTAGTGAGGAAATTCTTGGCTTAGATGTTCTAGAATGAGAAATTGTAACTGTGAGTTGATTAACTATAAATTAATAGAAAAAAATAGTGAAAATGGATACAAGAAAACACGCACCTATAAGCTCTGACGGATTCTTATCACTGAAGTGTTCACATACACGGATAAACGTTTCTGTATTCTCTGGTGTAGGGCACTCACCATGCCTGAAAAAGAAGAGAACACAAAGATTAGGAGATATTTGAGGAAAGGGAAAAAAAAGTGGTTGCTTCAGTGTGATCTTTCAAATTAAAAACTAGGCATTAAAAAGTGCAGTCAACTTACCCTTTACACGGAAGTTTTATATATTTAATCCCCTCTTTCTCTATATCATTCCTATCATAGAATCTAGTGGTGTTGGTCAGGTCCACCAGCAAACCCATTTTAACCTAAAGATTTAAAATAAAATAAAAAGTGTATATTTTTTCAGATATCAATGCATACATAGTAATTGGCTAATAAAAAGTAAAATAAAAGCAATAACATGCTATCGTTGCAAGTTTAAGATTCCTTTAATACTGCATTTGCTCATAAAAGTCTATACAAACTAGATTTTACCACCAGTATATTCATCTGTCTTTCTCTGTAAAAGCTGTAGTGTTTGAATCAATTCAATCTCTTTAGTGTATTCCCACTACTATTAACAGAAAATAATAGTTACTAACAGAAAATAATATCTAGCTAAAAAAGGGCTTTTATGCCGTAAGTAAATCAATGTTAAACACTGACCATAAGAAAAATAAACTACTGCGACCTCCATACAAGTATCTTTTCAGAAAACCTAATTCACCTCCACCTATCCTTGCATTAAACTTTACTGAAAAACATGTGAAGACATTTTCAGGTTTCAAACAGAAAATCCTTAAAGTGATTCAAAACTAAAATGAGAAACGATTTTAAATCTGCCAAGATCCTGCTGGTAATTCAGGTGGCAGTTTCAACCACACAGACTGACTCTAGGAAGCACGAATTAAGGCTGCCTTACCCACTCATGTGCTCCCACTCCTAGGGAATTAACTTACTTTTTTAGTGTTTTATTTTACTATAGAAGAATACGATCTCTAAGCAGCCCATTGGAAGCTACTGCGGTTTTAAAAAACTAAATCCCACTGGATGGCATCCTAGGCACAGGGATCATCTGCAAAGCACAGCCTGCCAAGGTGGAGCTAACAAAACAGATGATCATGGAAGAGAAATTAAACTCTGTAAGATAGTTATTAATAAAATAATAGAAAATCCTTCATTCCAGGCTCTGGAGAAATGTGTTCCTTTAAGCTATGGTCACAGAAAATCACAGAAACACAAAACAGAGAAAAAAATACACACAGTTGCATGGTAGGCTCCTGACTCGATGCAAGTCTGCTCCATTCTAGTGAGTTGCATCCGTGGCCCAACCAGCGTAACATCTTCCAAGCATAAAATCACCAGTAGCAGCGTGTGCCCTGCACTGAAAGCCCTCCTGGTTTCTTGCCTTGCAGGTACAACCTACACTTTGCATCAGATGAGGCCTCTTGGGCATCACTTTGTCAGCACGCAGGATAGCTTCTGGTCAAAACACCGAGCGCCACATCACCAAAACGATCCTCACCAGGAAGTCAAACCTCCTCTTACAAGCCTCCCTAACACTGCTATTTTAGTAAATTCATCGTTCTTTAGAAAATTCATTGGTGGGGGAGGGAGTTAAAACAGTACACAGGAGCGCACTGCAACACACGGCCGCTAAGACGTGCCACACGTACATTAATGTGACAGCCAACACACTCATAAAGCTATGGCACATTTTCATTAACTGGATTTTAATTAATAAAATATAAAGGAGGTGGCTGGTTTTTTCTTTACCTTGAGGTCAACACTGTGGCCAGAATTTAAAACTGCATTTGGAAGATTTACAAACCAAGATCCATCCCTTGTGCCAGCATCCCACGTCGAGGGTGGTCGGAGCTGGCAAAGAGCCTAACGCAAGAACCAGGTGCATTCTTCCCGGGCAGCTCAAGGCTATAAACCCATGTCATGGTTTTTTTTCCTCCAATTACTACCGGCACATTTTCATTAACTGGAATTTAGTTAATAAAATATAAAGGAGGTGGCTGTTTTTTTCTTTACCTTGAGGCCAACACTGTGGCCAGAATTTAAAACTGCATTTGGAAGATTTACAAACCAAGATCCATCCTTTGTGCCAGCATCCCACGTCGAGGGTGGTCGGAGCTGGCAAAGAGCCTAATGCAAGAACCGGGTGCATTCTTCCCGGGCAGCTCAAGGCTATAAACCCATGTCACGGTTTTTTTTCCTCCAATTACTACATAGTTCATCTTCATAAACTAGTCTTTTATTTAAAATATGAGGTTAGATATAATTTTTTCCAGAAGTCTCAAAAAAAAAGTATGCTTTTTTTCAAAGCATATTTTAAACTCCATTTTAAAATTTAAGACAGCGTTATTTTAAAATAAATAAATTTAAATTCTTTTTGCCTTAAATTCTATTATAGTAACGAAAAACTTGCACAATGTTAGTTACTCGTGAAATAATGCTATACCATCTGTCTTAGTCTGCAGATAAGGAAAAAGAACTATGAGAAAAGAGCTTAATAAAAGCATGGAGACAAACTAGAAGCCAGTCTTGTTAAATATTTCAATTTTAAAAAGGAGAGAAACAGAAGAAACATAAGAAACTTCACAGAAGTTTCACTATTCTCCATTCAAAAGTAGAAGAAAGAGACAGTTCCATTTTAGTGCTAGAAACTCATATTGCTAATTCCCACCCTCTTAACAAATGCCAGCATACTTGGATGCTTCCACCAAACTTTCACAAACTCCTGCTGCAATGATGCTACAGTGAAAAATATGTGAAAATAAATATGTGAAAATATGTGAAAAAATTTTTTTAATCTTATCAAAATATGTAATAATACTTTAATATTACCTTAACTTTCAGCAATTGCTCTTCTGAATATATTTATCTATAGATTTCAGTTTACCAACTGACAACGTATGTTAGATTCAAACTGTCACCAGATGTTTAGGGATGCTGCTCCCTAATTTGAACAGAGGAATGAAATGCAGGGACATGTCTATTTGGAAGGAAATTCAGAACAGGAGGATCATAGGACTCCTGCCACAATTATCATGAATCATTTTGGCCATTCCCAAGGGAAGATCCTGTGAGGTCACCATGTTCTTCACATACTTCAAGGAGCAGCAAATCTTTAGCCAAAGCTATAGAGGATAAGTGGCACACAGAGCACATTGTATGAAAAAAGGCTCCTTGTTTTACAGAAAGCATAAGCATTAACTCTCCGTTCATGAGATCAGCCGCATACAATACCCCACAATTTAGAGAGGACAAGGCTAAAGGAAAGGGTAAATTAAAAATAGTACCATATTGAGGCAGATCTTTATGAGAGTCCAAAAATCAATGTGAAGAAACACTTTAGCAGAAGAAGCAAAGCATTTCAGTCACTGAACTGGGGTTACACTGTGTTGGACCCAGTCTGACCAACCTGAAGCCCCACAGAGAGGACAGGGTCAACTATACATGTATGTTCATCACACCCATGATTTGACCTACTCTGAAACATTGCCATCGTACCACTGTCCTTCTCAGTCATGTTCTCACAAGGTTGCTCCTAGAAAGTCCTTAACTGGAGCTGATTTCTGAAAGACTATCCCAAGTAAACCATGTTATTGACCAAAAAGGCTATTTCTCTAAGCAGTGTTTTGCATGAATCATGCCTTCCAGCTGGCCCACCACGCCTACTTTCCGTTGTAACGCACAACTTTGGAAGAAAACAGCATTTTCAAATGTTGAGCAACTTATCACTAAAATTTACACATATTTCTCACCAGGATTGCTGCAATACTATAATCTTGGACACAGCACAGCAACACAATAAAAACTAGCTATTTTTTTTCCTTCTTCTAATCATTAAAAAAAAAAAAAAAGCTTCTAGCACTTCTAACCTAATTCCTTCCAAGAGAAAAAATAAAATAAAACTCATGCTGTAGCAACTGCTCTTGCAGTAACTTCTTTAATGAGACCACAAGGATATCATGCCAATAGTGGCAAACCAAAGGGAGAGATTCTATCTTGATAAGGGCTACCCCTTATCAAACACATCTCACGCTCAGCCTTTCAGCAACCAATTTCCAAAGAAAAAGAAAACTCCAACCTCACAGGAAGCCTTAACTAAAAGATTTGCGGGTTGGGGAATGCATCTACCTACGTCCTCCCAGCTTGATGCTGTCTGAAGCATTGACCCAAAGTGTCCCTTCAAATATCTGAGGTAAGAACAGTATTTCGCCCTCAACTTCTTTGTTGTTTTTTTTGTTTTGTTTTTTTTAAATTAAAAAAAAAAACCTACAAATGCCTGCCAAAAATCTCTTATTTTGGAGAGAATTCAGACAGACTTAAGTAATAATCAGGTTTCAGAAATGACCCATTATGGAAAGTACAAGCATTCAACATACTGAAGTCAAATAATGACAACAATCCAGTGGGTCACTTTTGCCTTTGGGAAACTCCCTTTCCAAGGTCTCCTCAATAACATATTCAACTGTCATCCTGTCAGATGGTTGCTAAATTGCTATTCCAGAAATACAGCACTCTGGCAAACTACTGCAATTGAAAAAAGTATGAATTGAAAAAGGTATGTTTTCAAGTAGGGAACATTTAGTAACAGCAAAGAAATGAGGACAACACTAGGACTCAACAAAGTTCGTAAATTTTGCTAGACAGGGGAATTTCAGTGAAATCTGTACACCAGCTTATTAACTGTAGTGTACAGAAGGTAACTGGTTATGCTCATTCTAATAATTCTATCAGCAAATTTTAATCACCTAACATATCTGAAGACATTCTGAATTTTTGGTATTGCAGACTGACTGATTAATGCGCCTAGAGAAATTCTACCAAGACTCACCGTGAACTTTTTTGGTGACAATCACTGACAAGCAAATAATCAGAAATTCTAAAAACTCTCAGGCCTCTGAAGTTCTTTATAACTTAAAATACAGCATTTTTTTTATTTTCAAACACTAGTAAAGTTGCTTTTTGAACATTTCTAGTAATGACCATTAAAAGTGGTCAGAGCCAAAAATAAAAACACATAACATGTGAAGTATTCAAACAGAATTAAATACAGTTCCAAGGATACAAACAAGAACAAATCCTACCAGTATGGGCATCTGAAAAAAAATATAAATTAGCAACACATTTCATTGAGAATACTTTCTTACCATGTTTGCCTACAGGTACAACTATCAGTTACACTGACTACCTAAGCCCAAATGAGAGCCTCAGAATGGAAACCCCCATATTTCAGTCATCTGATTCTTCTGATGTTTAAGCTCTGGCATTGTAAAACTCAAAATTAACTTTTATCAACAACAAAATAATTCAGAACAAAATGTCACCAACATGGTTAGTTTTATCATACACACAACCAAAAGAATTGCTTCCCATCATACATACAACAGTTCAATAAACAGGCAAGTTGTAGACCTTTCTTTGCTTTGGGACATTCAAAATTCTATTCCCACATCTCCAGAAACATTGGACAGATCTCTGTATTATATGAAAAGTTGCTGTTCCCCGCCTTTCTTATCAAAGTTATACTACGATACAGAAGAACATGCAAGTCGAATTAGACCAACACAAACACGAAATGGCCTAGACACAGGCACTGAGTAAGACCAGACAGAAACACATTAGAAGTGTAACTCTAACCCGATGATAGTGGTGTTCATCTTGAAGGGTATCTTCCAATCCACACTTCTAAAAATTCTTTCAATTTACGCATTTTTTCACTAAGAAATTACTGAATAAAATCTACAAACTGTTTTGTTTCATATTCAAACATGACGGGTTGGATATTAAAGAGTATTTTAAGTACGAAAAGAGAAAAACTACGCATGGAAGCACATGAAAATACAGAACAAGAGTTCAACAACATTTTCCTATTTTGCTATTAAATATGCTCATCCCCATAAGCAAAACTGCAACTTAAACTTCACATACCTGAGAGTAGTCTTAAAGCTCTACACTCACACTGTCTGAAGCCTGAGAGTGATAGCGGAAAAAAAAAGTGAGGGGCATTTTCCTAACACAATGAATAACTGGAGGAAAAAAAAAAAAAAAAAAAAGCACATTTCTTCACAATGAAAGAGTGGTGTGTTTGGAAAATAAGGTGCTATAGCAAAAACAAAAGGATCAGAAAAAACATATCTGTACAGATGTCTCAAAAGAATCCAACTACAACATTTTCTTAAAACCTGCAAAGCAACATTCAAATAAGTACTAATAATAGAAGTTATGTTTCAACTAATAGAAAAATTAACTTTACCTTCAGACTCTTTAAGTAGTTGGACAACATACTTGGGTGGAAACGGTTTTCTTCAGCAACCTGGTCATCATATCTTGGTCCTAACATTGTCTTCAAAGGTAAAAACTTCCCTATGAAACATAAGCAAATTTTGCATTATTTTATGTATATGCATAATAACAGTTTAACAATTTTAAAGAAATACACTGAGCAGTTTTAGAGGCTCATGTTCTATGAAAAATAACTGCAGGAAAAACATCAGTAAGAGTTTAACTGGAATCACTAGTTCCAAGTTCTCAGAATTTGGAAATAAATTTAGAAGTTTAAAGAAAATACAGATGACCTCACCTAAAACAGGCACAGCAGTATTTTAAAATATTTAGCTAGCTTTATTTTGCTTTAAGCTGTGGAACTCCAGCACATTAGTAGAATAGACAACATTTAAATTCAGTGTTTAAAAATATGAATGAATAAAGAAATAAATAAACGACAGCTTGTCTACCCAACCTTGTAAACTCCGTTTTGATTACCTGCAGAGCGCAGAATGCGGTACAGGTAGCTGCAGCAATGCACACTGCACCCAGGAGACCCCCACACGACAGGCTCACGCTTTCTAAGGGGTGATCCCTGAGGTTTGCGGGATGAGCTCGGCTGCTGTGGAACTGCTGGATCAACCCTCCCTCCAAACAGCAACACTTACGTGTGGCTCGGGCACCACTCAGGACAGAGCTGCCCGTGCAGAACCTGCCCAGAACTAGCCCTCTGAAGACACCCTTTTCTATTTATTTATTTTTCATCCTTCGTATCTACCAGGCAACATGTTTAATAATTTCACTAGAGAACTCTAGCACTTTCTTTCTCATCTCCAGTAAACTATGTCACACTGTACTATGCAATAATCAATTAGTTATTCCTAGAAATTAAAATACACCACATAAATTCCTGTTCAGAAAAATACCAAAAAAACCTTACGCAATATACAAAATTTCTACTTACAGCTGAATAAACAACATTTTAAAGATAACGTTTAAATACAATATTTTAAGGGTGCCAGTCTTAAGTTAGCCATCTCCAACTATAGCAATGATTCTAGTTTTTGTTTTTAACAAGTTGATATCACATTTGATTTTTCTCATTTCCTTACTACATAGTTTGCAGCTGTAAATCCATGGTTCTGCAAGCACGAGCTAAGCTAAGAAAACATTTTATTAGGATAGCATTGGACACTACAGATGAAAAGTTAAATTGTTCTGCAAGAGCTAAGAATAACTTTAACAAAAGTAATCCAGAAACTGATACAGAATTGATAGCTGTTGAGAGCTATTTGAAGACATTCATGTTGCAAAAGAGAGCTGGCCTTGCACCTGCAGCAGTACCTCAGAAGAAAGGAAAAAGTATTACGAGGCAAGATGCCGGAAGAGAGCGGGGAGAAGAGCTATGAGTAGAGCAGCTTCAAACTGGCACATCAGCTTTGTAGGACCCTTTGTACCCCACAACCATCTCCTCCGCGCGCAGCAGGAACAAGCACTCGAGCAGCACGTACCAACTCAGCAGCTCAGGACCTCTCCCTGCCCTTCTCTACACACAAGGATGGGAGCACCAGTCACTGCCACCAAGAACATCCCTTCTCCTGTGCATATCAAGGATCCCGCTCTGCTTTTAGTTGGGAAAAAAGAGCATGAACAGAGAGAAAGGGACGTGGCCCACCTGCTAGGTGCACCAAGGTCAATGGTATGGGCAGGCAGTAACGCTGGGAGACTCTGAGCGTTTTCTCTCTTTCGAAAACATTTAGATGAATTATATTCTGAATTTTATTTCAAGACTGACCAAACAAAACCCTAAAAGCAAAAGACACTGAAATCCCATTAGCCTCTTAATAAAATTGTTTCCACATTGTTAAAAGAGCAACTTTCTACAAACAACGGAAATGCAAGCATATAGCTGCAGGACACAGAAGGGTAACAGAAAGCTTTCAAATACAGGAAGAAGCTCAGCCTGGAGCATCAGATGTAAGTGCTCCAGGAAGCAAAGTGCTGATAGTTCCTGAGGCTGCAGAACTGTGTTTTTTTAAACCTTCTATTAGCAATGAATCTAGCTATTTCCTGGAGAAAAATAAAGTTAATTGTATATCTAGATTTAAAAAAAAATACCTTTAACAGTTTTAAAGAGAAAAAATTAAAAAAAAAGCTTTTCTTTTTATAGCTCGAATACCCACATGCCCTCTTGAACTCACTAAGGAAAAGCAGGCACCTTTCAATACTATTCCTGAAACCATTTTATACGACTGTTCAGCTGTGCAATGTGCGACTACATATTTAAACTTTCGGTTCCATATTCTCAAACGGAGCAGCACAGCTAGCCCTAATCCTCATAAATTCTCCTAAATTATTCATAGAAGGACTGCTTTCTGATCCATTTCCACATAACATACAATATATAGATAAATAAATAACTCCCCTTTTCGGCAAAAGAAAAGTACGTGGATAGAAAAGACATTATGCTTTCTTAAACCAGAAATTAATTCTGGAGATAGAAGTTCACTAACGTTTGTAAGAATAGAGAAATGCATGCAATTTTCATCGAATGAACCTGAAAATAACTGGGTTTAGGTAATAAAATAAATGAACACTCACAGGTTTTTCTGTAGAAAATAAATGATCTTGGCACAATGAGACAAGTCAGAGCAGTTATCAAGTTCTATTAAACATCTTATGCACGTTCAAACAAATATGTAAGATTAATTCTGCAAATCCTGATTTTGGATGACTTTAATGCAGAAACCTGCCATCAACATAAATTTTAGAAAACATCAAGCATACTTGGAAATGTTTTCATTAACTTCAACAGTTTTCATTGCCATCCTAATATATTCCCCCATCCATTACAGAACTTGAAAAACATACCTGAAGTCTTTTTTAGTCTAAACACTAAATTGAGAAAGGAACTGAATTGGAAGAAATCTTTGTACAGAAGCTTGAAAATCCTCCTTCTCAGCATGCATGTAAAGCCCTCCGAGATGAGTGTCTTTAAGCTATAGAAAAATTGAAGCTTTTATACAGTGAAAGACTTCCAGCCTTCCTCAGTAATAAGAGCAAACACAAATGGAGGCAGCAGCCTTCTTGTAAGCCTAGGAGAAGGCTGTCCTTGCTGCAGTAAAGGGATGTTACAATTGTTACTAAGACCCACCTTACTCATCCAGAACCTCTGTTAAACAGCAATGCATAAGGAACTAAACCAATAATTCTAATAAACTAATAATAAATAACCAATTATTTATGTTGACTTACGTGAACTTAAAGTAACAGAGCCATGTTTTACATGAAAATCAAAACATTCCAAGACAACAGTGCACTAATTTACCATAATAACTATAAACCCTCAAACCAATTTTTGAATTGGGTTCAAAATGCCACTGGAATTTTCAAAACTATTAGACATATTTGAAGTTTATCATGGAAGTAGGTAACGACTGAGTGTCAAAGTGGATGTGAGAAACCGGTTTCAGAATTAAAACTATCAGCAGAATAGGTAACATTTATTTAGAATGGAAGATGAGGAAAAATTCTAAAAATAAGAGCCCAGTATGTGAAAGCAGAGACATTATATCACTCAACCTTAGAGAAATAAAAGTGAAGCACAGAAGATTTCAAATGTCCTGCACAAATTTCACAGACATTTTCCATCTTTCCTTAAAACTGCAATTCTGGCACATACCAGTGAAAAAGCTGCTTCTAACTCAGTGTAATTCTTCATGGTATGAAAGTGCTAACTCAATGTGTACCATTAATTATTTATGACCCTGCTGTGTTCAGACTGAGCAAAACTAAACACACAAAAAAGAATCTGAGGTCAAGGGAAATTTTAGTAAATAGCATTTAACCATTTAACCCTGACAAAGGTCAGTAACAGATGCCTGAGAAAAAGCATAAGAAAAGTGGTACAGCACCAGATTATTCTCCCAACTTGCAAAAAGTTACTGTCCCACAACTTTCTGAGAGAGAGAGGTCCCAGTTCTATTTAATGTAATGTCTCCATACCTATACCTAACATGTCTGTTTTAGGAATAATTCTTAGTTCTGCATGCAGCACGTGTGTCTAAAACAGGATAAACTAACATGAATTAGCAATAAAATCTGACGCATTAAGTAAAAAAAAAAAAGTGTGAAAGGAAAATTATGAGATTCACCAGATCAAAGTGGGAATTATGGAGACTGAAGACACAACAGAGAAACATCCTAAGTACTACCCTCAGCATCTCATTATAACACTTGCCACTGATGGCATTCCATATGATGGGGGAGAAAACAAAACAACAACAAAAACAGACTTACAGATTTCATTTTTGGTGACTACAAAAAGTAGACACCTGCACAGATGAAGGCTAGCAAGCCTAATGCAAACCAATAGTTCCAGCTTTAAGAATTCAGAAAAAGCTCTTTTCTTCAAAAACAAGACGTTCAAAGTGCTAAAACAATGCAAAAGAAATCCTATATGAAAATCCACTATTGAAAACAACAGCCATACCTACCTCACGGAGGTAGCAAAACATCAGTATTTACAAAGGTGAGCACGAAAATAAACCAATTCATTCAGAATGAGACCTGCTAACCTGAATGAACCGCAGGAACACAACAGCTCCAGGCTTCATTGCCCTTGAATTTGAGGTCACCTGAAAATGCTGAATGCCACAAGGACAAGACAAGAGGGTCGTGATCAAACCTTTGATGAATACTAGCCCAAAAAAGTCAGGCAGACTTCACTCAGCGGCACTGAGCTGTTACACCATGAGATGGGAACAAAGTCATGCGCAAATGTTTAGAAATTTGACTGAAGTGCTAATTAAAATGGAATACAAAACACCCAGGAGACAGTACAAACAAATAAACCCTTAAAAAAAAAATCCTAAAATAATTAGATGTGTTTGAATGTAAAATAAAGAGGAGGGTGGCGGGGAAAAAAAGTAGAGAACACCGATCGTTTATTATGACTTTCAAAAAAATGGTTTTAGGCAAATAAAACTGAAGAATAAGTGAATTAATTTAAGAATGCACTACCATACTGCAGCTGAAGATTCATTAATCAAGTATTTTTGTTTTCCTAGCACAGTAACTTTACATGTACTGTCACACTGAAAAGATTTACCTTGCAGCTACTGCAGGGCAGGAGGAACCCCCCAGGGAGCTGCTGCACAGCGGATGACATGCTGAAGAACTGCCTTCTTGCTCACTTTATGTCAGTTTACTCATGCAGCCATATTTTAAGGACTTAGGGGCTTTTAAAAGAAACTTTTAAAGATCAAGAACTGGCTGAGAAGAAGAACGAAGAGGAAACATTCACGAGTCTAGTTTTGTTGTGGTCAAACGCTAACAGGTTAGGCTAGCAATTTTCCTAGATACAATGTGAGTGTGAGTAAGCAGAGAAGAGAGGATAAGGAAAATAAAGAGGTAAGGTAATGCTGCTTTCTAATAGATCCAAGCGCTAGGAATTATAAATGACTTGAGGGGAAAACTGGTAAAAGATAAAATCCTATAGAACAAGTGACAGAAATTCAATATTGGCAAAAGCCAAATGATGCAGAATTATAGGAAAATTAAGCCTGACTGCAAATACCAAGGACCACTGGTGACCAATGGGCTCATTCTACGACTGAGCTGACGTTGTACAACTACGGCCTGGGAAAATACAGAAATTAACAACTATTAACTGAATCGTGGCAGAATCCATCAGGAATATTATGCTTGCTAGCAAATACCGCCTTTTGAAGGAAAAAAAATCAAAAGTTATCACGGAAAGGAAAGCGAGTGAAAACCAGAAAATGCCGCGAATAAGGGCGGCGTTGGGGGCTGTGTGAGCTGCATTTACACAGGAAGGAGCGGAGGACACGAGGGGACCCGAGGCAGCCGGGCCTG